CGGTTCAGGTTATAGCAAGGAGATTAGTGGGTTATAACGAGGATCAGCAGGAGGATTCATTTTGTTAACCTTAGAAATCAATGACCTGGAAAAAGGAATGTTAAGCAAAACGATGAAACTCACTGATTCAAAACAAGACTGCAGTGAGTGCAAAGCCAAAGAGCGATTAAATTCAGGTGATAAGCAAGAGTGTGAGCAGATAAGAAGTTTATGCAATGAGAATTATTTACAAGGAAATGTATTTGAGGACAAAAACATTCTGGAAATACATAGTATAAAAACACATGGTAAAGCAAAGGAACTTCTGTTATTTTGTAATTTGTCTTATAAACAATGGTACCAGTTTGTGCAGTAGATGTGGGGACAAATTAGCCCTTTATCTTAACAGCAGAGCATAAGGCTCAGTGGTTGAATGGGTCAAGGCTGAATTCTGTCTTTCATCTCTAGAAAGTAGATTATACAGCCCAAGCCGTGACAACAGTTTGAATTTGCAAGACCTCTATTGCATTTGCTGGATACTGTAAGAATGGAAATTGTTTCAGCAAAAGCAAGGTGAAGAACTTCATACTTAAATGCTCAGCATTATTATTAAATAATCAGCCAACACTTCACCTTGATTTTGGAGATCCAGTGCCAGTTTCCGTAGAAACTGAAGTGCTATCCTGCAGCTGTCACAAAATTGTTTAAACCCTGCAGATCTCAGCTATGACAGCACACTGAGCACTACAAATGTGGATTTTTAAATTGCAGCCACCAATGTGGGGAATGCAGAAGTTCCAGAAACTTCTTTCAGAGCCAGGTGTGCTCATCACCAGCGTGCCTAAGTCCTACGGCAGTGTGGGTCAGGACAGTAGTCACAGCATATAGTGGGTTTTGTACAAAATACCATAGTTGCATAACAGCTGGCACAACTACAAGAGCAAATTATACTACAGCACTAGTGAAAGACTACCCCAGACAGATAAATTTCTAGCGCATTTACTCACAGTAGTCCTGGGAGGCAGGGAAGTGATATTATCACCATCCCCAGGAGGCAAAAAGGAGCCATAAAGAGATATGGAGCTTGCTCACGCAGAGGCAGGTGTAGATGCCTGCATAAAATTCAAGATTAAAAAGATTAAGGAACCACGCCAGCCATCATGGTTCTTTTAACAGCCCGAGGGGCGAGGTAAGCACTACCTTCAGGTTGCCTTTTACAGACCCTGACACGGCTCTCAGGCGTAGGTACCGCGGGGGTAGGAGGGCGCTGGGCACCGCGCAGGCGGTGCGGAGCTGCCGTCTGTGGGATGCGCAGCAGGTGTCTCCCACCGCACAGGAATGGCTCCACAACCCGCACACTCCCACGGTGGCAGGCGTGAGCCACTCGTAAGGCTTTCAGTGAATATTTCTATGTACGCCTCGCTGTGGCACGTAAGCTAAATGCACAACCAGATTCGATAAAAGATGCATATTATTCACAATACAACTACCGTCGTTCTGGGCACCACTCCAAGCAGCTAGGAGAAATGACTCAGTGTCGATCACTACGCACAGAACCGCCTGCCCCGCACAGAGTGAGTCCTGCATCTCTCACTGGAAGGCGATGGATGGACAGACTGAGCAAGTTGTGCAGGCAGTAATGCTCCTGAGAGAGAACTTTCTGTACTTTATTCAATGCACTCGACATGACAACACCCTGCTCCACAGTCCCTTACGTCAGTGGGACACGTGCTGCGTGATTAGGAACTGGTGAGACCAGGCCCACTCCTGTGAATGAAAGCAGTACCATTTTCCATAAAGGAGAGTAACTGTGAAGTTTCAGTCTACAATGACTTATCTTAAATTAAGGAAAATGAAGAAGAAAGCAGCCCATGGCTGAGTGTAAATGTTTCTTGAAATCACCTGGAGGTCCCCATTGCTTCAGCAGAAGGTCTCGGAAATGGATGCAGAAGCAGCAACAGAGGGGCACATTCTGGTTTAATAGCTCCGATTAATAAGCCCAGTCCTTCCTGGTAATATAAATTAGGACTCTGTCATTTAAAGCATCTTTTCAGCTACAATTTAGATACAAAATGAGAACAGACCACAGCAATAACAGCTCTCTTATCTCATTGACAGCATGTACTTAATAGCAAAAAAAAAAGGTTATACCATGGGTTTTTAATGTCTTTTCAGTTTCCTGTCCTTAATCTAGTCTTCTTTCATTATACGCAAAGTACTTATGATATTTTGAATCATAACAGGAAGGAAAAAAATAATCTAAAAAATCCAAACGCACTTGCTAATTAAATAGCAACACCCTTACTTTCATTCAGGCAATCTTGATAAATTACAGTCTTCCCATACTTTAATGGATTTCTCTCACCACCCTAAGCTATGTAGCAAAACACAACATGCTCAATTTAACAAAAACAAGCCAATATTGAAACTGGCTGTTTGATTCTGCTTCAGCAAAGTATTCATACATGTCCTTAAGTGAAAACACAGGAGCAAACTCGGAGGAGCAGCTCCTTGGGGTGGTGGAAAGGGTCCGAAGGAAAGGTACGCAGCCTCACATCAGGGGAGCGCCCAGTTCTCAGGACCACATCAAATGGCCTACAGAGAGCACCTGCATCTGGAGAGCTGGTGTCTAATGCAAAAACCATTCCTTAGCTCACTACTGGATTTTTTCCATGTGCAATGAATTCACTTGCAATGTGTGCAGAGCATTTTCACGGGTCACAGGGGACAAACAGGACTGGTTGATGACAGGCAGCATGGCCTGTTCTCTGCCACCCCAGGCAAGTGCCCCTCACGGGAATGCTGCAGCCATAAAGGCAGATAGA